AGAAATGATGCTTCTGACTTATTCATGCCCCTGAAAATGTCTTTTAGGAACACTTCATTCTAAAACAAGCAATATAATTAAGAGAGAGAAGCTTTATGTATTTTTATGTTTTGATATGAAATATCAGTAGGCAGGACACTGTCATGGAAACATGTATAAAAATAAAAAAGAAAATTTAATTATCTAGGAAAAGAGTTGGGAAATACTTAAAAACCCTTGGAGGAAAGTACATTTACATTATTATAAAAGGTAAGAAATTAGTCACTGTAGACAGAGCCCCTCAGGTGTTTGGCATTTTCAACTGCCTTAATAATAGACAAAATGCCAAAATAATTAAAAATAAGGACACCAAGTAGGAACATCAACAAATTTGCCAAAAATGTTTCCAGTGCAAAAATTACAGGAGAAAAGAATAACCAGCATTTACATTTATGGTGTTAACTTTCAAAATCAATTTTTGTCAGATTAAAGCAAAGACATGAAATTTTTTTAAAAATACAAAGGAAAATAAAGAAAAAAGCAATGTGGTTGGAAGAAAAAAACTTAGGAAAATGACAGCTGAAGTTAAAAGCAATGATAGCTACTGTAAAAAATATAAATGAAAACATTGGGCTCTGGGGATGTTCAGGAAAAAAGAAAAATCATACTTACTTCCATAATTCTGAGCACGTAACCTTGCCACATTTGAATGCTATAACAATATTTGATCAGTCTAGGGACAAATTTAAAAATTCTCTTAGTACATGAAAATGTCTAATATCTATAAATAATTCTAACTCATTAAGGAAAGATACGCATGCTCACTTCCTTTAAATAAAATAATAATAGAGTATATTTTAGAAATGTTTTCATAAAAATGATCAAAATGAAAGTTTCAGAAGTTGGAAGTATCAAGTCTCCACTTGTCTGAAACTTAATTTATCCAACTAACCCTTTTCTAGACTCTATTCACTCCACCACTACACTTACCTTAATATCAGTTAATCAAAAGTTGTTTGAATATTCCAGCCATTCTGTTGTTTCCTTTCACCCATGTTCTCATTTCATAGGTATTGAAACTGCCTGATTTTGGTTCCTATTACTAAATTACTTCTTTTTTGTCTAACTGATTTAATAGAAGGTCGTTTAAAAAATCGTTTCAGAGAAGGGTATAATCACTTGCTTTCTCAACTATTAAAAATTAGAAATCCGGGTTTCAATAATACATTATGTGTTCAACTGGCATCTAGAGCGTTCCATGTTAATGAAAATTAGAATAGTAATCCCCTGTGCATCAACGTACTGCCTGAAGAATAAAATGAAACAAAATGCAAATGTTGAGACTTTTATGCAGCCAAAGGGTTTGGCCATTTTCTGTTTTTATCTGCTCAAACCACACTGCCAAGGGCTGCCTGAATTTCCTTATCTTCAGTTTCATACCTGAGTGGAAGGCAGTTAGTTGTTTTTTTTCCATTTGAAATGTGTGATTCAATTTTGAGAACTTCTTAAAAATAGTCTAGGGAGCGTAAAAATCCTTGGAGTGGGGCCAAATTTTTCTGAATTAATATGCACTCTTCTCTGCCCTCAGTTACACATGACTGCCATTGACATTTCTTGTGCACATTTTCATACCCATTACTAATGTGCCACCTGATGCCATTGTACTTTTACAAACACTTCTCAAAATTAGCTTTAAGCAAGTAGAATATTCTTTCATTTAACATGTGATGATCTTAATAGGGAATGTGTGGTCACAATCCAGCACAAGAAACAGAAAATGTGCAGAATGAAATTTTAGAAGGTCAGCAGCTTCTCATTGCTACATATATTTTTGTATTGTAACTGATTAAAATTTGCATGAGTGTTAGCAAGAATTTTGTCTTATTTTTAATTCTTCTGTTTATTAGCAACCAAGAAGAAAAATTTGCTTTGGGGACTTAGTTTTATCTCCAGTGGTTTTTGACATCCCATACCATTCATTTCAGAAAATACTTGGAATAGTTGTTTACTATAATGCACAATTTATGAAAATATACTAAAATATTGTTGAAAAATAATCTCCATTTTTTTTGTTTGTCTATATGTATGTGGGCAGGCTATATAAATATTCCATGAATATTAATAAATGCCTATTCAAAATGATGTTTTTATGGCCTGCAGTTGCAGACTTTTAAAATGCTTCTATTATAAGATAATTGCCTAGAATATGAAAAGATACTATTTATTTGGTTCCAAGCGTCCAGGAAATATTACAAAGCTTCACACAGACTTAACAGCTCTGTTAAGCCTTTGGCATATTTGCTGAGCAACCATTTATTTATTCTCATTTATGGTGAGGTTAAAGAGACCCAATCTCAGACATAACACATAGGATGTACTACCCCAACAAAAAAGTAATTTATGATAAGTTTTAAAAGTACATATTTAAAAGAAATATTCTTTGTATTTTCTGGGGATTTGGTGCCTTTTTCTAAGTATTAATTTGTAGTTTGCACTAGATACTAAAATACAAATTTCTAAGGATTCTTCTCTTTTTTGATCTGCTTAGAAGTTCCCTTGGAAGAACTCCTACAACAATGTAACTGCATGACAAATCATTAAAGTCCTTGGTGTGGCTTTGCATAATTAATAGCATATAGAGAGGCTAGACTTCCCACCGTCAGCACCCTCCAACCCTTGACAACCAATGGCTGACACAGAGGTCTCAAAGCCTGACTCCCTTGGCTCAAAGAGACACGATTCTGGTGTGACCTAAATGTTCCAGAACTCCCAGTAGGGTTAGGCTGAGGCTAGATGTCAACAAAAACTACACCTTTGCTTAGGTTCTTTCTCTACCTGTCCTTTGCTTGACATTCTGCAGGCTTCTCCTGAGAATACTCCCTGAATGAATCCTTTGCCCAGAAATACAATTCTCAGGCTGTGCTTCTAGGCAATTGCTCCTAAGACAGCATTGATTTCACTCCTTCAGTCCTAGAGCCCTTATTTAGCATATGTCTATTATAGACGTTGTGCATTCATATATAAAACTGAGCAGGAAATAATTCCTCTTCAGGCACTCAAAGCCTAGTGAGAACACATACCAGGTCATGACATGATGTGATGTGTTATGACAGAAGAAAGTGATGTGTTAGATAGGATAAAGAACAAGAAGAAGTCTAGAAAGAGGTGGGGGCTGGAGGCTTCAGAAAGGTGACAATTGAGCTGCGTATTGATTAGTAGAAACTTGTTAGGCAGTAAGAATGGAAAGGCAGAAGAAATTATTATTTTCCAAGACACAAAAACATAACAATTTTGAGAAACCATGGTGAGTGCAACGTGCTTTGAAAGTGCATATGGAAGAGCAACGGAAGATGAGATTGATGTTAAACACTACAGTGGCATGAACTGATCTGAAATTTAAAAATATATTAAAACATTACTCTAGAGAAAGAGGAGGCACAGTGAATAAAAGGATGAGAGGCAATGAGCAATCTGATAACACAAGAAGTGGCAGAGGATTCTTTGAGGATGTGGGAAATGAGCGATAGATTCAAGAGATTTTTAATGTTTATTTCATCTAAAAAAATGGGATACATGTGCAGAATGTGCAGTGTTGTTACATAGGTATATGTGTGCCATGGTGGTTTGCTGCACGTATTGGTCCATCCTCTAAGTTCCTTCCCCTCACCCCACAACGCCCAATAGGCCCTGGTGTGTGGTGTTCTCCTCTCTACATCCATGAGTTCTCAACGTTCAACTCCTACTTATGAGTAAGAACATGTAGTGTTTGGTTTTTGTTCTTATGTTAGTTTGCTGAGGATGAGAGCTTCCAGCTTCATCCATGTCCCTGCAAAGGGCATGATCTCAGTCCTTTTCATGGTTGCACAGTATTCCATGGTGTATATGTACCTCATTTTCTTTATCCAGTCTATCAGTTAAGGGCATTTGGGTTGGTTCCTTGTCTTTGTTATTGTAAATACTGCTGTAATAAATATATGTGTGCATGTCTTTATAGTAGAATGATTTATATTCTTTTGGGTATATACCCAGTAATGGGATTACTGGGTCTAATGGTATTTCTGGTTCTAGATCCTTGAGGAATCACCACACTGTCTTCCACAATGGTTCAACTAATTTACACTCCCACCAACAATGTAAAAGTGTTCCTATTTCTTCACAGCCTTGCCAGCACATTCTGTTTCCTGACTTTTTAATAAGCACCATTCTAACTTGTGTGAGATGGTATCTCATTGTGGTTTTGATTTGCATTTCTCTGATGATCAGCGAAGTTGAGCATTTTTTATACATTTTTTGGCTGCATAGATGTCTTCTTCTGAGAAGTGTCTGTTTATATCCTTTGCCCACTTTTTGATGGGGATTTTTTTTTCTTGTAAGTATGTTTAAGTTCCTTGTAAATTCTGGATATTAGACATTTGTCAGATAGGTAGATTGCAAAAATTTTCTCCCATTCTATAGGTTTCGTGTTCACTCTGATGATAGTTTCTTTTGCTGTGCAGAAGCTCTTTAGTTGAATTAGATCCAATTTGTCCATTTTGGCTTTTGTTACGACTGCTTTTGGTGTTTTTGTCATGATGTCTTTGCCCATGTCTGTGTCCTGAATGGTATTGCCTAGGTTTTCTTCTAGGGTTTCTATGTTTTTGGATTTTACATTTAAGTCTTTAACTCATCTTGAGTTAATTTTTGTATAAGGTGTAAGGAAGGGGTCCAGTTTCAGTTTTCTGCATATAGCTAGCCCGTTTTCCCAGCACCATTCACTGAATAGGAGATTCTTTCCCCGTTGGTTTTGTTAGGTTTGTCAAAGATCAGATGGTTGTAAACCAGTGGTGTTATTTCTGAGGTCTCTGTTCTGCTCCGTTGGTCTATATGTCTGTTTTGGAACTAGTACCATATTGTTTTGGCAACTGTAGGCTTGCAGTATAGTTTGAAGTCAGGTAGTGTGATACCTCCAGCTTTGTTGTGTTTCCTTATGCTTGTCTTGCCTATACAGGGTATTCTTTGATTCCATATGAAATTTTTAACAGCTTTTTCTAATTCTGCGAAGAATGCCAACGGTAGTTTGATGGGAACAGCATGGAATCTATAAGTTACTTTGGGTAGTATGGCCATTTTCACAATATTGATTCTTTTTACCCATGAGGTTGAAATGCTTTTCTATTTGTTTGTGTCCTCTCTTATTTCCTTGAGCAGTGTTTTGCAGTTCCTTTTGAAATGGCCCTTCACTTCTTTTGTTAGCTGTATTCAGAGGTATTTTATTATCTTAGTAATTGTGAATGGGAGTTCATTCATGATTTGACTCTCTGCTTGCCTATTGTTGGTGTAAAGAAATTGTCATGATTTTTGCACATTGATTTAATATCCTGAGACTTTGCTGAATTTGCTTATCAGTTCAAGGAGTTTTTGGGCTGAGATGATGGGGTTTTCTAAATGTAAAATCCTGTCATCTGCAAACAGAGATAATTTGACTTTCTCTCTTCTATTTGAATACCCTCTATTTCTTTCTGTTGCCTAATTGCCCTGGCCAGAACTTCTAATACTATGTTGAATAGGAGTGGAGAGAGGAGGCATCCTTGTCTTGTACTGGTTTTCAAAAGGAATGCTTCCAGATTTTGCCTATTCAATATGATATTGGCTATTAGTTTTTCATAATTAGCTCTTATTATTCTGATATATGTTCCATCAATACCTAGTTTATTGAGATTTTTTTTTAACATGAAGGGATATTGAATTTTATTGAAGTCCTTTTCTGCATCTACTGAGATAGTCATGTGATTTTTGTCTTTGGTTTCGTTTATGTGATGGATTATGTTTATTAATTTGCATATGTTGAACCAGACTTGCACCCCAGGAATGAAGCCAACTTGATTATGGTGGATAAGATTTTTGATATGCTGCTGGATTTGGTTTGCCATTATTTTATTGAAGATTTTCACATCAATGTTCATCAGGGATATTGGCCTGAAGTTTTATTGTTGTGTCTGTCTAGGTTTTGGTAGCAGGATGATGCTGGCTTCATAAAATGAGTTATGGAGGAGTCCCGCCTTTTCATTTGTTTGGAATATTTTTTAAAAGGAATGATACCAGCTCCTCTTTTTATTTTTTCACATCTGAATTCTACCAGAGATTCAAAGAGATTTAAAATTTGATGATTTATTAAATAAATGGAATGAGTGACAGAAAGAGTCCAGGATGAATTCTAAGGATCTGGGTTCAACAACTGGGTGTCTGATGACTCTAAGAATAATACAGGGAATGTGTCTTGATTCTATAACCAAATGTTTTTTATCTGTATTGTCTTATAAATTTGCAATGCTTCTTTAGTAGGCCAATTCACTGGTAGCTTGCAGATCCAGAAGGAAAGATTTGTTGATTGTTACCTTTGGAAAATCTTTACTAATATCTTCTTTTCAAGTTGGCAAATTTGATCCCTACTTCCCTATTCCCTTTATTCAACTCAATATCTCTTTGTCATTTGAAAATTTTATAAACCCTATTCTCTGGAAAACCTTGTCCCTCTGTTTATTTTTAAATGGATTAGGCAGTTCTTAAACGCTACAAATTGTGTTTTTGTTTCCTTTGCCAATATTGCTCTGTTTGGAAGCCTATTTGTAAAAAAAAAAAATTATTTCATAGCTTTAAACATACTGTTAGTTCAAATGGTTTTAATTGAAGATGCTAAAGCAGTGGTTCCAACTAGAATTTTCCCAGGGTTTCTTCAACTGCATTTAATGGAAGATTCATATGTGTATTACTGTGAAGTTTATATGGTACTTACACTCTTATGAGCGACTGAAACTGAGGTCCCACAAAAATCCTAAGCGGATGCCTATAGTAGAATCCTGTGTTGAGACATCACAGACATAGAAAACACGCAGAACCTCATGTGAGAAATCTTAGAATAGATGCCTTAAATTGCAGGTATTTATTTGAAAGTGAACTGTTCTTAAATGGGCAACTCCATGTAGCCAAGATGATTTAACACAAACATCTGAGATTCTCTTTTGAGACAAGGTCTTGCTCTGTCATCCAAGCTGGAGTGTAGTGGCACAATCATAGCTTACTGCAGCCTTCACCTCCTGGGCTCAAGGAGGTCAAGGAGTGCTTGTAATGAGACTACAGGCACTCACTGACACATCTGGCTAGTTAAAAAAAAAATTTTTATGGACGGGGTCTCACATTGTTGTATCAGCCAGTCTGGAACTCCGGGGCTCTAGTGATCCTCCTACCTTGGCCTCCCAAAACCCTGGGATTACAGGCGAGAGCCCAGCCTCCCGAGATTCTTTATTTAATGGTGGCTAATCATTCTCCCAAGGAACACTAGAGATTTGTTAGTCTTTAAATAAAATGTGAAGCTAAACTGAAAGCGAAATAAGAATATGATCACTTTTGTCAGAATAAATGATAAGGACTCTTGACTCCAGATTATTTTTGAGGAGGGCAGTTTATTTTTAGAATACATCTTTGATTGTTAACTATAAATTTCCATTAAGCCTAGAAGATTTCCCAAATGGTCAAATGATTGTAGGCCAAAATTATTTACTTTTTTATAACATTTTTACTTCAACTATGTTCTGAATTTAAGATATATCTATTTAACATAGATAATGAAATTCATTTTCTGTTCACATTCCTGAACTAAATAGAAATATTAGAAATATTTCTGAAAATAAATATCAGTCTGATTTTGATTCCTTACTTTGTTTTCTCTTAGCACATTATAAACAATAAGTCTATGAATAAGTAGTTATTAAGTATGTGCTATGTTTAAGATATTGTGTAATAATTACATATTGGGAGGTAAAGTACAATTTCCTGAGATGTAATATAAAACTTAAAAAAATGATGACATTCTGGTACTTTAATTACTAAGCTTTCTATGTATACAATTTGGTATGGACTAATACAATCCTAGTAGATTGTAATATTTTACTAATTAGTAGAACAAAATAATTCTCTCTAGAAATAATTCCATCTCAGTATTGTTTGATGACAAAACTCAACCTCAGGTCTACAAAGATATTTAGAATACATGATTTGGAAACTACAGTAAGTCAATGGTTTTTGGCTTGAAATTGAACTATAATGCAGATAACAACAAAAGCGTTCAAATATTCTTTGACTTGGTGAATTTAGTTACTATATGATACTGGTATTTAGTGAGGAGCTGGTTTACCATAGGAAATTATTTTTAAGCCAAAACACAAAATAAATCAATATTTTTGCTTCGATGGTATTTTACAAAGGGCATTTCTACTTCACCACAATCAATTTTGCCAACCTGCTAATGCCTTTGCCCCTGATCCGAGAAAACTTTTGCTTGAACTTGGTGTCCCAAATAAGATAAATATGGTCATAAATGTGGTTTGTGGAGGGCAGAGGGACAGCCAGCCTGGGCTTAACCAACCAGTGCTAAGTGTAATATTATGGTGTAGAAGAAGAAAGAGGAAACACGCCAACTCAGAGATGAAAGAATTTCCTGTGCTTCACCCCACAAAGCATTCGAAATTATTGAGTTGGCTTCTAATATACAGGAAAATATTCTAAACTGGAAAGTAATTTGTTTGAAAGTATTTTCCCCCATGTTGAAAACCCATGAAAATAACCCCTATGTATTATAATATATAAAGTGGAAGTTGATATCCTGTATCTCTAGTAATATTTTCCTTACATGAGGAAAGTCTCTGGAGTCTTGGTAATTAAAACTACCTCATAATACTGACAAAGTGGATGTAGGTTGAGATTTTCCACCACATAAGTACTGGCTAAGTTTTATTGCCTGAAAAAATGCACTTTTTTTTTCATAAGTGAGTTTCTGTACATTTACTCTGTGCCAGTTTTAACATTTATTTTTATTTTATACAAGTTTTGATTTTTTCTCATATAATTAAATTCAGATTTTTTATTGGTTGGAGTTGATTGCTTGGAAATGTTTGCTTCGAAATGATTCCTGCAAATAACCTCTGACTGGTCTTGCTTTTGCGTTGAAGAGAAGGTGGAGTTTAGATGGAGATGAAAGAAAAGCAGGATGTATTGCTGACAAAGTCACTTTCATCATGGTCTTCCCACACTTAAAAATTAAGTATATCTTAAAGCTTATCTCAAAAAGTACTAACTCATTCATTTGTCACTACAGCTTTTTCATCAACAAACAACTTCACTTCTTTATTTCTCTCTTGCTGTTTGTAATCTATTTCCCTACCAGTACTTATCTAAACTTAGGTTTTTTCCCTGTGAAACTTTCACGATTTTCTGCCTGCCTAAAAAGTCTTGCCTTCTGCTTTCTGCCAGTTCAAACCTTACATGTTCTTTCAGCCTTGCTGAAGCAGACCTCCTAGATAAAGCTTCACAGACAAATCCTGGTCAAGAAAGCTCTTTGTGTATTTGCATTATTTTAAATGCCTGTAGTTATATATATGTGATTATCTATCTATTGATTATCTATCTATCTATCTATCTATCTATCTATCATGTATCATTTGTTTTTTCTTTTCTTTCTTTTTTTTTTTTTTGAGACAAAGTTTCAGTCTTGTCACCCAGGTTGGAGTGCAATGGTGTGATCTCGGCTCACTATAACCTCCGCCTCCTGGGTTCAAGCTATTCTCCTGCCTCAGCATCCCGAGGAGCTGTGATTACAGGCGCCCGCCATCACCCTCAGCTAATTTTTGTATTTTCAGTAGAGATGGGGTTTTGCCATGTTAGCCAGGCTGGCTTCGAATTCCTGACTGCAGGTGATCTGCCCGCCTCTGCCTCCCAAAGTGCTGAGATTACAGGCGTGAGCCATGGCACCCGGACTACCATCTGTCTACCTGTAGCTATCTTGCTTAGGGATAAATGCCTAGACTTTGGAGTCTCACTGCCTGGATCACAGTCTCACAATTTTGTTTCCTGAGATGTGTAAGTCTAGGCTGCAATACCAATAAGCAGTAGAGGGAAAAGTTATGCATACATTTAGGTTGGTGGAGATGGGTTATTTCGTTTCTTAGATTGCTCCTACGCTTTTATTTCAATATTTTTCTAGGGAAAGTCTTCATAGAAATAATGCTTGTCCTGGCTGAGCTTTGAAGTTCAGTTGGATACCTGAAGAAAAGAAAAGTGTTCTAAGCAGAAAAATAGCATGAGAAATGTTACAGAAGCGAGAAAGAATGAGGTGTTTGCACAAACAATAGCAGGTTAATTGGATATAATCTACAAAATAGAAAGCCATTTAGGCTGCTGGTACCTAATTGCTCTGCCATTTAAAATGTGCTCTCTTTCTTAAATGCTTTGGCTATATAAAATAATGAAACCATAGCTGAGTTAATATGTATAGCACAATACATTTC